TATATATATATATATGTGTATATATATATATGTGTATATATATATATGTGTATATATATATATATATGTGTGTATATATATATATATGTGTGTGTATATATATATATATGTGTGTATATATATATATATATATGTGTGTGTATATATATATATATATATATAGCAGCTGGGCATGGTGGCTCACACCTGGAATCCCAGCACTTTGGGAGGCCAAAGCGGGTGGATCATCTGAGGTCTGGGGTTCAAGACGAACCTAGCCAACATGGTGAAATTCCACCTCTATTAAAAACACAAAATTAGTCGGGTGTGATGGCATGCACCTGTAATCCCAGCTACTGATGAGGCTGAGGCAGGAGAATTGCTTGAACCAGGGAGGTGGAGGTTGCAATAAGCCATTTTACACCATTGTACTCCAGCCTGGGCGACAAGAGTGAAAATCTGTCTCAAAAACAAAAACAAAACAAAACAAAAAAAACTGGCTGGGCGCAGTGGCTCACACCTGTAATCCCAGCACTTTGGGAAGCTGAGGCGCGTGGATCATTTGAGGTCAGGAGTTGGAGATCAGCCTGGCCAACACGGTGAGACCCCGTCTCCACTAAAAATACAAAAAATTTAGTTGGGCATGTTGGCAGGCGCTTGTAACCCAGCTATTTGGAAAGCTGAGGCAGGAGAACTGCTTGATTGCTTGAACCTGGGAGGTGAAGGTTGCAGTGAGCTGAGATTGCGCCACTGCACTCCAGCCTGGGCAACAAGAGCGAGACTCCATCTCAAAACAAAAACAACAAAAAAATAAAAAACCAAAAATATATGTATCATATAACATGTGCTTTCCATGTATTAACTTCTTTAAGCCTCATTCCAACTCTGGGGGAAGGGGGAAACTATTATCTGCATTTTACAGATGGGAAACTAAGGCACCGAGATGTTAAGTGGATAGCAAGTGGCAGATTGGATTTTAAAAGACAGCCATATCCGAATATAATTGACAGTCCCACAGGGAGACAAGAGGGTGACTGAGGGGAAGAGCTGTGATGATAGCAGAAGGGAGCTGGAGTGAAGTAGGGGGCTGCGCAGTCTTCCAGAAGCTGGAAAAGGCAAGGGAGCAGGTTCCTGCTGAGACTCCAGAAGGAACGCAGCCCAGCTTCGCCTTGCTTTTAGACTCTGGACCTCCACAACTGCAATAGAATAAATCTGTGTTGTTTGGTGCCACTAAATTTGTGGTAACTTGTTACAGAAGCGATGGGATGCTAACACACTATTGTATTTTCCTCATCTCTGATCAATAAAATATACTTCAAAGCTACGTAAAAACAAACAAACAAGCAAAAATAGCCACAGTATTTCCTGTCTTACTGCTCTTTTTAAAAAAAGAAAGCTGGGATAGGATCTCGAAAGGTTGCCCAGCTGACCTGCCTCCTGGGCTCAAGTGATCCTTCTGGCTCAGCCTCCTGACTAGCTGGGATTACAGGTATGAGCCACTGTATCCAGCTCAACTGTGACTTCACCCACGCAGATGTGGGACCTGTGTTCCCTCTTCCTGAAGCCGAAGGTTGTGACTTCAGTGGCACATACATCATGTATGTGCCAAGGCCAGGTCACACAGGTGAGCAGGCTTCCGCCTGGCTGTCCTGGGATGTTCACTCTTGGAGCCCAGCTACCATGAACAATAAGAGGGTGCCACGTGAGGTATTGTGGTCAACAGCCCAGCTGGGTTCCAGCTGGCAGCCAGCACCTGCGTCTGAGCAAATGAGCCCGCGGATACCTGCGGCCCCAAGCCATCGAGTCTTCCCAGCTAAGGTCCCAGACATGGTCACCCAGCGACTGGCTGTTCCTACTGTGCTCCGCCTGCATTCCTGACCCAGAGTCTGTGAGCATGAAAATATTATTATTTTTTTTTTGAGACAGAGTCTTGCTCTGTCGCCAGGCACCAGGCTAGAGTACAGTGGCGCAATCTCGGCTCACTGCAACCTCCGCCTCCCATGTTCAAGCCATTCTCCTGTCTCGGCCTCCCGAGTAACCAGGACTACAGGTGCACACTACCACGCCCAGCTAATTTTTGTATTTTAGTAGAGTTGGGGTTTCACCATGTTGGCCAGGATGGTCTCAATCTCTTGACCTCGTGATCTACCTGCCTCGGCCTCCCAAAGTGCTGGAATTACAGGCGTGAGCCACCATGCTCTGCCAAAAAGGCGGTTTTGTAGCACTAATTTGGGAAGCATTTGTTCCACAGCAATAGATAATGACCCACTCAGGTATCCTGGCTCCAGGGCCTCACTCAACCGCTGCCCGACACTGCATCCTGTACGTTAAGTATGGGCCCAGCTTATATTCCAGTGAGATCCTCTCCTGTTCCTCTGAACCCACATCTGCCATCATCTCCCTGACGGATACTCAGATCCACCAAGCGCTGAGCACTGGGGAGACGATGGCGGATGAAACACACAGACCCTCCTCTCGGGAGCTTGGAGTTAGGGAAACTACTGAGTGTGCCTATGGGAAGAGAGAAGTGCATGGACTCAGTTATGGGAAGATGGGGGAAGATCCTGGGGAAGGCGACGTCCATGCGTGGCCTAGAGGACGGGGAAGAGGTGGCCAGGGCACAAGGAGAGGCCAGAGGAGGTTCTGCCTGGGAAGCAGGGAATACACTGTGCAAAGACCCGGAGAGGGGCCAGGTGCAGTGGCTCACACCTGTAATTCCAGCACTTTGGGAGGCCGAGAGGCAGGCAGATCACCTAAGGTCAGGAGTTGGAGAACAGCCAGGCCAACATGGTAAACACTGTCTCTACTAAAAATACAAAAATTAGCCAGGTGTGGTGATGGGTGCCCGCAATGCCAGCTACTCTGGAGGCTGATGTAGGAGAATCACTTGAACCCGGGAGGCAGAGGTTGCAGTGAACCAAGGTCGTGCCACTGTACTCTAGCCTAGGCACTCCAGCCTGGGCGATACTTGAGACTCTGTCTCAAAAAATAAAAACCCCAAAACAAAAACAAAGACCTAGAGAGGGTCCATGAGAAAAAAAAAATATGGTGCTAAACCAAATCATTAAAAAAAAAAGAGAGGGAGAGGGTCCATGAGAACTGGGTGCTGTCGAGCACAGCCAGAGCACAGAGCACAGAATGGGAGGCTGTGGAGATGGGTGGGGAACACCCCAGGCAGGGGCTGGGGGGTGGGTAGGGAACAAAGTCAGGTGGCAAAGGCCTGCACGCTTCTGTACAAACTATTTCCCCTCTCCTGGGAATGAACCCCAATTTCCCTTTGAGAACATCGCTCCAGCCCCCACTACTACTACCCTAGGTGCAGGTGGCTGCGGAAGGGCCAATCTCTTTTTTTTTTTTTCAGACGGAATCTTGCTCTGCCACCCAGGCTGGAGTGCTGGAGTGCAATGGTAAGATCTCGGCTCACTGCAACCTCTGCCTCCCGGGTTGAAGCGATTCTCCTGCCTCAGCCTCCTAAATAGCTAGAATCATAGGCAAACGTCAGCATACCCAGCTAATTTTCGTATTTTTAGTAGAGATGGGGTTTCACCATGTTGGGCACCACCCTGATCTCATGATCCGTCCCCCTGAGCCTCCCAAAGTGCTGGGATTACAGGTGTGAGCCACCGCACCCGGCCTGAAGGGCCAACCTCATTGCCTAACTACAGGATAGGCTGAGGCCAGGCTGAGCCAGTCAGAGACCTGTCCCTTGCTAGCCCTTAGGGATTGGTTCACAGACAAATACAGGACGAATATAGAGAAACTAGAGTTATTCCCTGGACTTATGCAGAAACTCCTGGGAGAGAAGGACCCTCTTTCCGCTGGAGTGGCAGGGCTGGTGGCCTGAGCCACCCAGGTCCAGAAATGGCTGGGAGGGAGCAGAAGGGAAGCCTGGGGCTAAGCTCACCTGTGCCGAGCACAGAAGCCAGCCGCACCTCATAGTGGGGCTTCCCTTCTCTGTCGACCTCTTTGAAGAGCCGGGTGTTGTAGGCACTGAGGTTCTAGAAGAGACCAGGGCAGGGGTTAGAGAGTGAGGTCTGGAGGGGACAGTGGAGTGGGAAGAGGAAAATGGGCCACCCAAGGGGGAGAAGGCATGGAGGCAAAGCAGGCTGGGCCTTCCCAGTTGGCTGTGGAAGGGGAGAGGGAGAGAGTGGGCAGGGACAGCCCAGGGCCGACTCTCCTGCTCTGCTCGTGACACTGTGCACTAACTTTTACAAAGCACTGACTCCAACCACTGTGCCAGGCACTGCATGGCCTCTATGAACCCAGGGCTACCGGAGGTGGGTACCACTTCACAGACATGGAAACTGATCACATAGCTGGTAAGTGGCTGAGCTGGGAGCGCCACTGACACACGGACCCCAGAGCCACACAAGGATGTATGTGGCTTGAGGTCCTGCCTTCTCATCCTGCTCTGAGCCTGTCATTAGGTTCTACAGCCTGGGGTGGGGCAGGGGTGGCGCCTTCCCTCATAGAGGGGTGGGGGGGTAGTCAAGCAGAGACCCAGGAGTGGTCACCAGGTATGAGGGGGCTGGGACTAGGAACCCCACCAAACCGCCGATACCCTGAGATCCCCTAACCCCAAACCTGTGAGTCCAGAAAGTCCTGGGCCAGTTTGGCATCTTCCATGGTACAATTCCCAGAGAAATAGGTGGTGATTCCCTGTTGGGGAAGAGAGGGGACATGGGAAAGAGGAGTTGCCGAGGTCAGGGCTGCAGGGATGTCATCTTCCAGGATTCCTGTCCCTCCCTCCTTCCAGCAGCCTCTACCCCTTACCTCTCCATCTACCTCTAGGGGAAAAAGTTGTAAAACAAACAGATGCTCATCTCCAGCCTTCCTGCAGCCCTGCTGAGGCCTCTCTCAGGCTGGCCCACCCCTAAGACTTGCCAAGGTCCTCACCCCAGGCAACTGAGGTGGCCTCCAGAGGTGGGAAGCCTGCAACCCCCTCCTTCCCTGCCATCCCTTCCTCAGCTCCCTCTTCCTTCAGCCTTCTTCTCCTTCCCTCCATCAGCACACTGCATCCTGCGTGCAGAATGTCAGATCTGGGAGGGCATTCAGAAAGCATTCTACCCGACCTGCTTCCCATTCTACAAATGACAAAACTGAGGCCTGCAGTAGGGAGTATTGCCTCAGGAATGTGAGGCAGAGCCCATCACCTCCCCATTCCGTGTCCTTCCCTCCTTACCAAGTGGCCGGGAAGGATTCCCTCCACTCCTCCTCCCCTTGGAGGAGTCGGGGCCTCACCTCCTTCCCCAGCCCGAGGTGTCGAAGCCTTGGCTCCAGACAGAACATAAGCTCCCCGCAGGTCTGCCAGAGGCCCCTGACTTCTTCTGGGTGCTGCTGAGCGGCCTCACTCCCTAGGATCACCCGTTCCAGCTTCTCCTGCAGGGAAAGGGAGGCCACTGGTCCAGCCACCCCACCCAAACCTGCCTTCCAGAGCCTCCCTATCCACTCCCAAGCTCTTCTCCCATGGCCTAAGAGCTTTGGCTCGTTGTGTGGTCCATGGATCAGCAGCACTGGGACCTGAGAAGTGTCAAGCCTCCATGTGCGGTGGCTCATGCCTGTAATCCCAGCACTTCAGGAGGCAGAGGAGGGAGACACGCTTGAGGCCAGGCTTGGAAGCCAAGATAAGCCTGGGAAACATAGAAAGACCCCCATCTCTACAAAGAATAAAAAAATTTAGGCAGGGCAAGGTGGCTCACGTCTGTAACCCCACGCTTTGGGAGGCCGAGACAGGTGGATCACCTGAGTTCAGGAGTTTGAGACCAGCCTTGCCAACATGGTGAAACCCCGTCTCTACCAAAAATATAAAAATTAGCCGGATGTGATGGTGCACACCTGTAATCCCAACTACTTGGGAGGCTGAGGAAGGAGAATCGCTTGAACCCAGGAGGTGGAGGTTGCAGTGAGCTGAGATCCTGCCACTACACTCCAGCCTGTGTGACGAAAGCAAGACTCTATCTCAAAAAAAAAAAAAAAAAAAAAAATTAGGCCAGGCACAGTGGCTCATGCCTGTAATCCTAGCAATTTGAGAGGCCAAGGTGTGAGAATTGCTTGAGCCTAGGAGTTCAAGACCAGCTTAGGTAACACAGTGGGATTCTGTCTCTACAAAAAAAAAAAATTTTTTTTTTTTGTTGAGACAGAATCTTGCTATGTTGCCAGATGCCAGGCTGGAGTGCAATGGCGCAATGTCGGCTCACTGCAACCTCCGCCTCCCGGGTTCAAGCAATTCTTCTGCCTCAGCCTCCCGAGTAGCTGGGACTACAGGCATGCGCCACCACACCCAGATAATTTTTGTATTTTAGTAGAGATGGGGTTTCACCATGTTGGCCAGGATGGTCTCAATCTCTTGACCTCGTGATCCATTCACCTAGGCCTCCCAAAGTGCTGGGATTACAGGTGTGAGCCACCATGCCCAGCCCTCTACAAAAAATTTTTTAAAAATCAGCTAGGCGTCGTGGTGGCAGGTGCCTGTGGTCCCAGCTACTCTGGAAGCTGAGGAGGATCACTTGAGCCTAGGAAGTTGAGGTTGCAGTGAGCTGTGTTTGTGCCACTGCCCTCTAGCCTGAGTAAGAGTGAGGGGTCCTATCTAAAAAAAAAAAAAAAAAGAAAGAAAAAGAAAGGAAGAAAATTTAGCTGGTGTGGTGGTGCATGCCCACATTCCCAACTACTTGGGAGGCTAAAGTAGGAGGATCACTTGAGTCCAGGAGGTTGAGGCTGAAGTGGGTCATGATCACACCACTGCACTCCAGCTTGGGTGACAGAGCAATGCCCTGTCTTAATGAAAAAATGTCAGGCTGGGTGCTGTGGCTCACATCTGTAATCCCAACACTTTGGGAAGGCCAAGGTGGGCAGATCATGAGGTCAGGAGATCAAGACCATTTGACTAACACGGTGAAACCCTGTCTCTACTAAAAATACAAAAACTTAGCTGGGCATGGTGGCATGCGCCCGTAGTCCCAGCTACTCAGGAGACTGAGGCAGGAGAATTCCTTGGACCCAGGAGGTGGAGATTGAAGTGAGCAGACATGCCACTGCACTCCAGCCTGGGCAACAGAGCAAGACTCCGTCTCAAAAAAAAAATGTCAAGCCTTGGGCCCCCACAGACCTGCTAAATCAGATGCTGAATGTCAGTAAGATTGCCAGGTGACTTGTGTGCATGTGAAAGTCCCGGCTCTTAAACCTGCTGTAAGAACCACCTCTGCCCTAAACAGACTCAAGCCTCATAACCCTGGTGGGGATGCCCCCTGCCCAGCACTCGCCACTGTTCCTGGTGATGACCAACGAGCTCCATGTTTGCGAGCACCTAAAAGGTCACAGAACGTTTCCACATCCCGCCCTTGTTCCACCTGAAGATCAGCAGTCAGGGAGAGTTGTGCTTTTCATTTATACACAAAGAGGCTGCAGCACCCAGTGAGGCTGGTGACACCCACAGTCATGCAGGGTGACAGCAACAGGCTCAAGGGTCTCTGCTTCTGATACTCTGGTTAGGGCTCCTTCTACTGCATTCTCCACCCCTACCCCACCAAACACCTATCTCCACTTCCCCAACCTCCCTTGGCTCACCTTGGGCAAGTTGGGAACAAACTTGGTATCACCAAAGGACTTGTAGTTGCCCATGTTGGAGTAAACACCCGCGGCATAGACCAGGAACGCCTGAAGGGGGAGGCAGGCATCAGAGACCTAGGAAGCACAGCCTCCCTGACCCCAGTGACACTTCCTCCTGAGATGCAAATGCCCCAGCAGAACCAGTGTGGGTGAGGCTAGGAAATCTGTGGACAGGACCCAGGTCCTGGGAAGCCCCAGTCTGGCCCACACTGACTTTCACAGACCCATTTTCACACCCTCATTGTCCTGCCTAACTGATCTTCTGGGCAGTTCCCACACACACCTAAGCGCTTGTCTGTCTTTGCCCTCTCCAACCCAGCACCCTCTCAGCCACCTGAGGCTTCTGTATCCTTTAAGACCTAATTCCAGCACCACCTCCCTCCTCCTGGGAGCCTGTCCTCAGCCTCTGACTGTCAGGCAGCTGGCCTCAGAAGCAAGCAACACATGTTAGAGCCGGAGGCGCCTTAGTCATCTATCTTCTCTGTGGCTTCTGCTGGCCCCAGATCTTCCTCTGGTAATAAGGCCTCAGACCTCCTCTTGTGGGTGGAGGGCTGGGGGATCTCCCTTCCCCCAGCTCCAGGGATGGGTATGTAAGCTAGCTCAGCCAGTCTGAGAAACCCCCATCCCTGGCTACAGGGATGGACCTAAAGCTCAAGCTGGCCTAAGAGCTTTACCTAGGACATTTCCCATTGGCAAAGAGCCTCTGTACACCAGGGATCATCAGGCCTGGAACCCCGGAGCTCCCCTCCAGGAGTGAGAAAAGCAACCAAGCCGAGAGATGAAGATTGCATCCCAACGGGAGCACTGAATCCCTGCATCCAGCCCTGCCTGAAACTTCCTCTAGACCTGGACTTTTCCATCATGTGAGACAATAACTCTCTTTTTCATGTAAGCCAATTTGAGTTGGGTTTCTGCTACTTGCAAACATAAGAATTCCCCTGAAAACAGTAACGCTTGGATTGTACCTTTTCATTTATAAACATTTCCACAGATTATTAGCTCTTTTAATGAGTAAGCCAAGCCCTCAAGATGGGAAGTGATTGCCCAACGTTCAAAAGAGGTAGAGGAAACAGCACATCAGCTCAGAGAGAAAGAATCCAATCCCTTTATTTCACATATAGAAAAACAGGCCATATTCTTGTACATTCTTGGTGGGAATATAATGCAATGAAGCTTTTTTAGAAGATGATTTAACAGAATCAGTCAATTGTAAATGTACAGAGCCTTTGACCCAGCAGTTCTCCATCTAGAAATAGATCCTCCTCACATGTGTGCACAAGTATGCTCATCATGGCACTGTTTGTAAGAAAAACAGGGCAAGCTAAATGTCCAGCAATAAAGAAAAGAGTAAATTGATTATAGTGTACACTGTTATGGAATGCTTCACAGCCAATAAAAAAGAATGAGGTACATTTATATGTACCCCACGGAAGTTCTCCAAGAACTGGCATTCAATGGGAAAGGCAGGACACGAAGCAGGAAAAGAACATTATCTCATTTCTATAAAAGCAAAAATAAGGAACTGAGTCACCATGCATGTACACATATAGGAATGTAATACACAGATGGCATTGAAAAGGCTGTAACTGGCCGGGCACGGTGGCTCATGCCTCTAATCCCAGCACTTTGGGAGGCCGAGGCAGGTGGATCACGAGGTTAGGAGATCGAATCCATCCTGGCCAACATAGCGAAACCCCGTCTCTAATAAAAATACAAAAATTAGCTGGGTGTGGTGGTGCGTGCCTGTAATCCCAGCTACTCGGGAGGCTGAGGCATTAGGATTGCTTGAACCCAGGAGGTGGAGGTTGCAGTGAGCCACGATTGCACCACTGCACTCCAGCCTGGTGAAAGTAAGACTCCATCTCAAAAAAAAAAAAAAAAAAGGCTGTAACCAAGGCCAGGCATGGTGGCTCACACCTGTAATCCCAGCACTTTGGGAGGCTGAGGCAGGTGGATTGCTTGAGGCCAGAAGTTCAAGACCAGCCTGGCCAACATGGTGAAAACCCAGCTCTACTAAAATTACAAAAATTAGCCAGACATAGTAACACATGCCTGTGGTCCCAGTTACTTGGGAAGCTGAGGCATGAGAAGTGTTTGAACCTGAGAGGCGGAGGTTTGCAGTGAGCTGAGATTGTGCGGTGGTATTCCAGCAAAGAAAAAAGAAATAAATGGGAAAAAAAAAAAAAAAAAAAAAAAAGGCTGTAACGAGCCTCAGTGGTTACCTCTGAGGACGGTGCTGAGAACGATTGATCTTTGGGTTTTGTTTTGTGTCTTTCTGCATTGCTGCAATGCACTAATAATTCATGTATTACTTGACCAATACATCCAAAAACAAAAACCAAGAGACAGGCAGAACATTCTTTCCAGGGCCACACAGTGTGGTAGAGAAGAACTGGTCCTGATCTCAGACCTCCTGATTCCGACTCTGGACTCCTTCCTCTGCCTTCCCTGAATCTCCACTACAGTTTCTTTTGCTATAATCAGAGCAGCCACCATTTATCTTGAAGTCAGGCACTGTTCTAAGTGGGTCATCACAACACGAAGAGGTACATACATCCCACATGCATATTTTACAGATGAGAAGACTGAGGTTCCAGAGAGGAGAGGTGCCTGAATTTGTAACCTTTGGTTTAATCCTCCACCTACCCCTTGAAAGAGACAGACATTTGCATCCTGGTCTCTCACACCCAGAAGCCATTCAGGAAATGTGGGTTGGCCCGAGAGAACTGACCTGATAATCCTCCTCCGTAAGGCCCTCGGCCAGGGCATGTTGGCGCAGCTGGTCGGGGTCCTGCGCACGAAAGAGGCGGCTGAGAAGAGCATAGATGTAGGGGGCCTCGGGGGAGGTCTGCAGCAGCACGGCCAGGCCTCCGTACCAGGCCGCACGGGACAGGTGGTGGGCATAGAGGCGCTCTGAAGGTGACAGCAGGCGGAAGGCCTCACGGCAGTCCAGGCTAGACACACCGATGTCATTGGGCAGGATGTACTGGGTGTCCGCCATGAGCCCTGCTGAGAACCATCACTATCATCACAGCTGTCGTTTACCCCACACCAATTGCATACCTGGTTCTGAACTCTTATGATCTCATTTAATCCTCCCAAAAGCCCACATGGAAAGGAATACTATTGTACCCATTCACCAGATATGCTAACTGAGGCTCAGAGAATGTGAGATGACTCACTCAAGGAGGTCACAAAATATACTGGTGGACCATATTTGGTCTGTAGCCCCAATATCTTAAAGATTGACTCTAAGGCTGGGGATGGTGGCTCACGCCTGTTAATCCCAGCACTTTGGGAGGGTGTGATGGGTGGATCACCTGAGGTCAAGAGTTCAAGACCAGTCTGGCCAACAGGGTGAAACCCCTTTTCTACTAAAAATAAAAAATTTAGCTGGGCGTGGTGGGGGGGGCGCCTGTAATCCCAGTTACTGGGAAGGCTGAGGCAGGAGAATTGCTTGAACCCAGGAGGCAGAGGCTGCAGTGAGCCAAATCACGCCATTGAACTCCGGCCTAGGCAACAAGACTCCATCTTAATAAAAAAAAAAAAAAAAAATAGACTCTAACTACCTAGTGTTACATATGGGGAAACTGAGGTTCAGAGAGGCTAAGAGCCTTGCTTAATCCCACAATAGAGACATCAGCAGCAGAGACCCTCATCTCTAGGCTCCCAGCCCAGGCCCCTCCCTGCTTCCTTGTTCAAAATTCCTTTTTTCAGAAGGAGTCTCACTCTGTTGCCCAGGCTGGAGCGCAGTGGCGTGATCTCAAACTGCAACCTCTGCCTCCCGAGTTCAAGCTATTCTCCTGCCTCAGCCTCCTGAGTAGCTGGGACTACAGGTGCGCGCCACCAAGCCCTGCTAATTTTTATATTTTTGGTAGAGACGGGGGTCTCACTATTTTGCCCAAGCTGCTCTTGAACTCCTGACCTCAAGTGATCCGCCTGCCTCGAACTTCCAAAGTACTGGGATTACAGGAGTGAGCCACCGCGCCTGGTCTTTGTTCAGAATTCTTGACACTTTCCACTGCGCTCACAAGGATAGAGTGCCAAGCCACCAGATGGAAGGCTCAGCCTTTGGCAAGGACTCAGCCCCTGACTCCTCAAAGTCAAGTCCATTGCTTCACTTTTCTGTACCTCCGTTTCCTCCTCTGTGAAAGAGGGAATAGCCCCAGTCTTACCAGGTGGGTGCACTAATCAGATGAGGTCGTCCTGGACGGAAAGTATCCACAGCAATAAATGACTTTCCTTGAACCTGTCCCATCCTCATCCCTCTAACTGCTTTTCCTCGGCCCTCCATTCTTCGACTCTCTCCTTGTGCTCCGCCAGGGAAGCCACAGAAGTTCACAACCAGAAGAAACCCCATTTTACAGATAGAGAAACTGAGGCTCGGAAGGGCCAACAATTTACCGAAGGTCTGACAGCCCCGTTGAGACCCGGAGATACCCCAACCCGCAGCATTCTCCCCGCCACGCCCCGTCCCGGCTGAGACTGAGTTCCGCGTCTCCCCGCCCGGCCCGGGACTCCAGAGGCTCCGCCCTAAAAGCACAATCTCCAGGTTCCGAGAGGGCTGTTAACTCTTTGCTGCCCGGAGTGCCCCTTGGCCTCGAAGGCCGGATGAATTTGGAGGCGGTACTGGAGAGTGAGCAGAAAGGGAATGATTTTGCGCTCAGTACAGATTCGCCTTGGTCCCCCGGGATGACGCACTGTGACCCCAAAAACCAGGGCGCCGCGCCTCACCTGCAGCTGCTGCTCCGTTCGCAAACTCACTTCCTGCTTCCGGCTCCCCCATTCATTGGGGCTCTGCGAACCCCGCCCCCTTTGGCCAACTGCCTGGTCCCGGGGATCAGATGGGCGTCAGTTCCAGCCAATAGACGTGCCGAGGCGACCTTCTCGGCCCGCCGGCTCCCGCCCCGCGGATTGGCCCCGCGGGCTCGGCCTTTTGTCCCCAGGCCGCACACGCGCCGGACCGGGGACCTCTGTGCCCCGCCTGGCCGCGGCCTAGTCCCGGCAGACCGGACTGACAAGGTCACCAAGCTGGCAAGGGTATCAGTGACTTGAGAACCCCCCCGCTTCCCCAGCCCCGATCCCGCTTTCCTTTGGGTTTCACCCCAGGGGCCCGGACCTCACTTTTGCAGGTGGGAACCTACACAATAGGAGTAATGTGGCTCCACCTTCCTCACGGGACTCGGGACCTGGGGTTGGAGACTTAGAGGCTGCAAAGCTATCGGTGCCGGGAATCCGGGCTACTGTCGAGCCGACTCGGGCCACGGCTGAGGTGGTCCCACCCGTGTAGGGGCGCTAAGAAACGCCTCGAGTGCTTCACTGCACCACCACCCACCCGCCACGGGCCTGGAAGCAGCCGCTAAACATTCCCGAGCCTCAGTTTCCTCAGCACAAACGGGCTGGCAGTTTCCTGGTGCTTGACAGAAGCCAGATGGCTGAGAAAGACTTCTGCGGCCCCAAAAGGGAGTCCAGGGCAGAGGCGGGCTTGCGGTCCACTTTTACAGGTCTGGACAGGCTCACACCTCGGTCTGAATGGGGCATGTGGAAGGACCTAGGCCGTGTGGCGGGGTAGTCTAAGTGAGGGCGCAGGGTCAGACCGGGGGTGGAGCGAGGTTGTCTGGAAGTTTTGGCTCTTTGAGCCGGAAAACCAGGCTAATAATTGAATCCAATCCAAGGGATATTATAGGTTGTGATGTGTTGACTGCAGTGCCACTCCCTATAGTTGTGAGGGGCTTTTAGGGACTGAAACCCCACAGTCTCCTTGCTGCGCCTGTGTCTAAGCCAGGCAGCGTCTGCCTACCAGACACCAGTTGCATCCACAAAGGCGCCCAAGGCCCTGCTTGGCACAAGAGTGTTACAAGCTTTTAGCTTTGATGATGACTTGTTATATGGGGGAGTTCAACAAGTTCGTCAGTGTCCTCAGGAAAGTCACCCCTCTTCTTTCCTGTGCCTCCATTTTAATTGTCTTTAAAATGGGTGTAAAGGGCTGGGTGTGGTGGCTCACGCCTGTAATCCAAGCACTTTGGAGGCCAAGGCAGGCGGATCACCTTAGGTCGGGAGTTCAAGACCAGCCTGACCAACATGGTGAAACCCCGTTTTTTTTTTTGTTTTTTTTTTTTGAGACGGAGTTTCACTCGTTACCCAGGCTGGAGTGCAATGGCGCGATCTCGGCTCACCGCAACCTCCGCCTCCTGGGTTCAGGCAATTCTCCTGCCTCAGCCTCCTGAGTAGCTGGGATTACAGGCACGCACCACCATGCCCAGCTAATGTTTTTTGTATTTTTAGTAGAGACGGGGTTTCACCATGTTGACCAGGATGGTCTTCATCTCTTGACCTCGTGATCCACCCGCCTCGGTCTCCCAAAGTGCTGGGATTACAGGCTTGAGTCACCACGCCCAGCCTACCCCGTTTTTTTAAAAAAAAAAAAAAAAAAGTAAAATGGGTGTAAAGTTGACTGACAGGTGAAGTTGAAATATGCACAGGTAAAGGAGGTAGTGCTGTCCATTGCCAGCAGGGGCAGCTCAGGCAAGCAAAAGATTTCAGTGCTCTCAGGATCCCCAACTAAGCTGCGTGATCACATTTTTATGATTACAGATAATATGAGCATGTACTGAGGTCCCTTGCTACCAGTTTGGCATGGAGGACCTTATTTAATTCTTGCAAAATTCCTGAGGTATCATCACTTTACCCATTGTACAAATGGGGAAACTGAGGCTGAGGTTCACCACCTGCTGTAACGCCACACAGTTCAGGCGTCCCTGAACTGGGGCCTGGCCTGATTCAGATCTCGCACCACACTGTCCCCTTCACCTGACTCCAACACACACACACACACACACACACACTCTCTCTCTCTCTTTCTCTCTCTCTCGCATGGAGCAGTCTATCACTGGAGTCATAACTCCCCAGCCTTGGCTCTTCCCCATGGGAATGAACAAGGGGTAGGTGAGGGGTAACACTTATGAATCAACTGTTACAGGTGCCCTCCATATATTCACAACCACCTGGCAAGGTAGTGACTGTTATTCCTTTTAACATTGAGGAAACAGGCTCTCAGAACTGGCAAAGGCAGAGCTGGGACAAGACCAGGGCTGTCTGATCCCCTCCACCAATACCTGAGTACTTGGAAGAGTTGGATTTTTAGTGCTTCGTTGTATATATATGGGGGGAGAGAAGTTGGAATGCTCCAATGCTTCCTGCAGCATCCCCACCCTCCTTCTTGCCCCCAGTGCATCAGTGCCATGCTCTGGAAGCAAGAATCTGATCACACCCTCCTCCTCTCATCACATGTGGTGCCCTCGATCCTTACAATAGCCCAGGCCTGGTCTCCCTGGCCCCAACCAACTGTGCGGCCTTGGGCAGGTCCGTCCTTCCCCTTGGAATCTGCACTCCCCTAGGCTCTGCCATCCGCCTTCTCCGGGGGACCCAGATCAGGTCAGGCCTGTACTCAGACCTTCTTCTCTTCATCTCCAGAACAGCCATCTGTCTTCCTGGCTCACTAACCTGAGGGATGGTCTGGGAGCAACCCCAGCAACATCCCCACCTGTGGTCAGGATGAGCAGGAATCTAGTTCAGGCTTGGCTTCCACAGCAATCAAGGCCCAACAGGCCCCAGCAACCTTCCCCACTCCCCATTCCTTTTTGGGGCCCCCCTCCACACTGGGCATGTTTCCTGCCATGCCATGCTGTTCCCCTCACCTGGGCTGCCCTCCCAACTCTCCCTGCCTCTGGAGATGCTCTGCCATTCAAGACTTGGCTCAGTCTCCAGGTCCTTCCTGGGCCTTCTATAGCTCCTGGTTCTCACTCCTCCAAACACTTCCAGTCTGGCTGATGGCCCACTGCATGCTGACCTGGGGTGCAGGTGGTCAGCACAGGTGTGGGGGTCAGCTTCCAGCACAAGCACAGGTAGGTCTTTCCGCAGACCATGGGCTGCCAGAGGCAGGGCCTTGCCCACTGCAGGGGACCTGTGCAGGGCTGGGCATGAAGCAGGTGCTTGCCCACCAATCCAGTATCCAAAACCCTGCTTGGGTCACCCCCAACGCTGTTGAAGGAAAGCAACACTGTGATGCAGAGGAGCAGCTGTGGATTCAAATCCTGGCTTGGTCACTTTCTAATTGTGTGACTTGGTGAATCTGCCCTCATCTCCTCAGAAACACAAATGGCAACACCTCCCTTCTTGGGTTACTATGAGGATTAAATAACAAAACCTCCAAGAAGCAGAGCCTGGTGTCTGGAGAGTGCTCAATGGACATAGTTATTATTATCATCAGCACAGTGCGGGGCACATGGTGGGCATTCAGGGATGATGGCCCTTGTGTCACAGCCGACACTCTTGACCAGTGAGTCCTCTCTCCTCCCTTTGTTAACTCCTGACCATCCACAAATGAGTTTCAGAATCCTCCATCCAGCATCTTCCTTGGTCACAATCTTCCCTGGTCACATGGTCTCAACCTTTTGCTCCACCTCCTTCTCTGTCCCCCTGCAGTCCATGCTCTAGCCACCCTGAATCTGTCCCTGGATTCCTGGCTTACTGACACCTGAGCCTGTGCACAGGCCCTCCCTTCTGTATAGAGCACGCTTCCCATCCTGTGGACCCGGAGGGTTCTGAGCAGCCATTGAGGCTGAGCTCCTATGCCACCTCCTCCGTGAAGCCTCCCTCACTTTTCCATGACCAGTGAGGCCTGCCACAGCCCAATCATACTCTGATCCTGGCACACATGAAGCTGTGTTGCCATTTGGTAACGGTCTGTCATCCACTAGACTGTGAACTCTGCCAGGTGGGGAACCAGGTCTGATTGCCTCTGTATCCCCAGAGACCACTTAGCACAGAGTCCAGCCCACTGGCTATCAGCAAATGCTTGGCCCAGCCTGCCACCTACCCACCACTCACTCTGGGGCTGGAGGCATTGCACGCATGCGGGGCACGTGGGACTTGTGAGGGCAGCTGAGCATCGAGGTTTATAGAGGAACCCAGGGTGGCAGCAAGAAGGATAAGTGTCTGAAACTGGGTTGGCAGGCTCAGGGCACAGCCAGCCTAAGCTGGGGGTCAGGGGCCCCTGACCCCTTCACTCCCCCAGGGGCACACAGTGTCGGCGGCACGATGTGGGATGCCCCAGGAAGGGCAAGGGCATGGGGCTGGCCTTTCCTCCATCAACCCAGGACAGAGCCAGTGCTGAAGGCCCCATTGGCATGACTGGGGTGGAGATCTCGGGGACCTCCTTGGGGGGGCCACAGTTGGGAGGAAGGGCGCAGCCCATCCAACATGTCCATCTGGTGTGGCTATATGCCAGCAGGGAGTGTCCCACATGCAGAGCTCCCTCTGGGCTGCAGGAGGTGGGGACCTGGGTGGGCAGGTGGGCACAGCAGCAGGGGGCTCCAGGGAGCCTAATCCAGTGGGCCCTGGAAAATGAGACGGACGCAGCCATGCTCGCCGGTAAGCCAGGCCCCGCAGAAGGGGCAGGCAGCATGGAAAGCGTGGGTGCCGTGGGGCAGTGGTGTCTGGGCCCAGTAGCGGGCAGTCTTCTCAGAGCAGACGTGGCCACAGGGTGCAAAGGCATGGCTGGGCGGCCCAGGGTCCAGGCAGAGGCCAGCCTCCTGGCCAAGCCACAGGGGCACATAGGGCCCCACAAGGCGGCAGAGAGGACATTCACGTTCCTGGGGGCCCCGCTCCCGCCGGCAGCCCCAGCCGTGGTAGCCATGGACGTGCCCGCAGCGGACGTAGACCCAGGGCTGCTGTTTGTCAGGTGCCGTGCGGCCACGGGCTGGGCTAGGGAAGGCCAGAGTGCTGAGGCCCACGGGGCACTGGGGCCGCGCTGCATTTGCCTCCTGCCGCTGGGCCTCCAGTTGCTTCAGTGTGGGAGCCCGCAGCAGCCCCGCTGGTGTGCGCCACAGCAGTGTGGCCCCACATAGGTCGATGAGAGAGCCGTCCTGTAGCACGTTGGACTCGTTTTCCACCTGCCAGAGGCAGTAGAAGGGCCTTACTGCTCAAGAGGCCCCTAATGAGCCCTCAGGTCCATCCCACGGAGCCTCCCTGGAGAGGACACCTTGGCTGGCAGGGCAGGCAGGGCAGAGGGGCAAGGCAGGCTAGGAGGCCAAGCAGGCAGGCAGGTGCACCCCAGGCACATGCTGACCCCCCCTCCCGGCGGGGCATGGGCCTTGGTTTCCCCATCTGTCTAATCAGGAAGTCTGGACCCAGATAGAGTTTTTCTAAAATAAGATGTTTTCCAAAGTGCCCCCTCCTGGAAGAGGCAGGAAGACTTCTAACGAGGAATGCTCGGTACTTAGCCCAAAGCAGCTGTCCCAGTGGTTACAGTTAAAAGCAAAAACTCAGGAGCTGGGCTGCCCAGGCTGAATTCTGGCCTCACCATTGACTAACTGTGTCCCTGGTTGAGTAACTTAACCTCTCTCTATCTCAGTTTCCTCATCCTCAAGGTGGATTGCACCTTCGGGCATCTCAAATGGTTCTCGTGAAGATTAAATGAATCAATCAGGCTGGGTGCAGTGGCTCATGCCTGTAATCCCAGCACTTCGGGAGGCCGAGGCAGGTGGATCGCTTGAGCTCAGGTATTTAAGACCAGCCTGGTGAACATGGTAAAACCCCATCTCTCCTAAAAATACAAAAAGTTAGCTGGGTGTGGTGCGTCATGCCTGTAGTCCCAGCTACTTGGGAGACTGAGACAGGAGAATCACTTGAACCTGAGAGGCAGAGGTTGCAGTGAGCCTAGATCGTGCCATTGCACTCCAGCCTGGGCCACAGAGTGACACTCCATCTCAAAAAAAAAATAATAATAAAAATAAATAATCAATCGATGTAAAAACTTGGAACAGGGCATGGCAAATTGTGGGTGCTCAAGCAGAGTAGGCCTGTGAATCATTCACATGCATTGTTTTAACAAATAATGCTTCCCTAGACCTCCCAGCAGAGTTGACGCTCTGGAAAGAAAAGCCATGCTTTTCTCTGAGGTTTTGCATCTCCTTGGCCGATGTGCTCATGCCTGGGAAGAGCAGCGCATGGCCCATTTGAGGAGCACAGCCATGTGACCTTGGGCATCCCCTGCCCCTCTCTAGGACTTACTCCTGCTCCTAACCTCACCTCTCTGATCTGTACCACAAGGAGCTTCCACTAACACCTGTGTCAGAACTATTCTAAGGACACTTTCCTCCTGGGAGAAAAGAACAGTGCTAAACCTGTCTGAACGTGACAGACGTGCTGAAAACTGCCAAGACTTTAGGCTATAAACTGCTCGCACATAGGCCAAGTGTCACTCTTATAAGAGAGTATGATTTTTTTAAGCTGCCAGCAGCCTCAAAGCCACCTGGGACTGCACAGTATGTCTGTGTGCGCCTTGCTTTGCATCACCCCCTGGACCTCCAGTGGTATGCACGCTATGCTTGCGGACCCTGGTCTGTCTGCCTGTCTGTGGGACAAGTGGCACATGCCAAGAACTCCCTGAGTCTGGGATTCCCCAACATGGAGCCTGTCGGGGTTCCCTGCGGCAGAAGGACTAGAGATCATTTCCTGGCTTGGGCAGGGAGATGGGCAGCTTGTGAGGGCCTGGCAAGGATGGGGGTGGGACATGGAGTGGACCACCTACCAGCTTGCCCCGCTGCTGGGCTGAGCGGCTGTCCCGCAATGTGTACACATTCCCACAGACCGAGATCTCCCGCCAGACACCCGGGGCTGAGTCCTCGGAGAAGCCGCCTGCCGGGTGCATCACCAGGACTCCATTGGTGGTCAGTCCATCCATCAGGCCATCTGGGGTCCGCCATTTGGCCGCCCGCTCCTGGGACCACATAAGGGATCAGATCATATCCCCCAGTGGCCCACCAGCAGGCCATGTGCCAGAGGCACTGCCCCTCTACTCTCAAGTTTAGAGATGGACCAGAGAGGCCTGGCATTGAAGCTGCATGACTTGAGCATCTCTCTGGGCTTCACTTTGCTCATCGGTTAGCTGGGGTTGCTAAGCCCTGCCAGGACCATCATTTGAATTACTGTGGGTTGGTTCACCCCAAGATGTTGCACCTCCCCAGCCTACCCCTTGCCTCACAGATAGAGTTGGTCCCTTCCTGGGGGCTCACTCACTCCAAGGAAGATGTTGCTGGAGGCGTCGAAGCCAGCGGCATAGATGCGGGCAGTATAGGGCGGCCGGCGGTCACAGAGGATGCGGCAGGCATAGCGGGAGATGGTGCTCTGGGCAGAAGGGCCCTCGGCAGCCCCTCCTCCAGGGGATGTGTCTGTTACTACGAAGTCAATCATGTTCTCCGTGGAGCGGCCAATCTGTGAGGACAAGGAGGGCAAGCAGGGACTGCCTGTGCACAGGGGACTCCCATGGGCTTCCCCACCTAGAGTACCAGCAGCTGCTCTGTATGTAAGGCCACCAAACAAGGAGGCTGCTAAACCTTGAGGAAGCGGCAGTACCAACTCCTTAGGTCCTCTAGGTTCCCAGATGGGGTCTCCAAGTCCAAGAAGCCATGGCCTGGAGCTTCTCCTTCTCTGTTGCCCCCAGCGCTGGGGATCGACCCACTCAATAAATACCAGTTAATTTGCTGACAGGATAATTAATAATAATATAATAATAATATCTGCTGCTCAAATGTTAGCAGCTGATAGTGAATTCTGAGTAACTATTTGCCATAGGCCAGCCACCATGCTAAGCATTTTACGTGCAATGCCTAAGTTAATCTTCCCGTGGGGTGGGTACTATTAAGGGCGTCATTTTACAGATGAGTAAACCAAGGCCCAGAGAACTTAAGTGACGCTGGCTGGGCGAGGTGGCTCACGCCTGTAATTCTAACACTTTGGAAGGCCAAGGCGGGTGGATCACCTGAGGTCAGGAGTTCAAGGCCAACATGGTGAAACCCCGTCTCCACTAAAAATACAAAAATTAGCCAGGCGTGGTGGCGCATGCCTGTAATCCCAGCTACACAGGAGGCTGAGGAAGGAGAATCACTTCAACCCAGGAAGCAGAGGTTGCAGTGAGCCAAGAGTCTGCCACTGTACTCCAGTCTGTGTGATGAGAGCAAGACTCCATCTCAAAAAAGAGAAAAATGAACTTAAGTGATGGAGCCAAAATCTGAACCTACACATTAGCCTCTCACACCTGAACTCCTGAGCTATGTGACCTCCCACAGTCTAGGAGTCGTGAGTTTGAGCCTTGATACAGCCGCTGACTTGCTGTATGACTCTGCAGTCAGCAGCCCACAATGGGACATCCTGCTTCCTCGTCTGAAGAGAAGCAACTTTCCCATGGCCTCCCATCCTGTAGCCTCACCTGAAATGCTTGCAGAGCCTAGAGGCCTGGTGGCCAGGAGGTGTGTGGAGAGGCCTGAGCATACCTGGAACATGTCTGTGTCACTATCATGTGTATACTCCACTATGACTGAGTGGCTCCGGGACAATGTGTACGAGATGCTGTGCTGGCCACGGTTACTCAGTGCCTGAGGGGAGAAAAAAGTCACTTGCCAGGGTGTGCAGCCATGATAAAGGTATGCCTTGAGCCAGCAGCTGGAGCTCAAGGCCCAGCAGCCACTCCCTGGGAAGGGGGCAGCTCCATCCTTTGCAGAGGGTGGACAGTGCAGTGGGTGTTTCACATGATTTAAACCCTGCAGTCACCCTAAGAATTTTCAAGTAATTGCCTCCTCCAAACTGCCTGAGGTTGCTGGGATACCAGGGAGCAGTGGCACAGTCAGAGGGTTGGGATATTCCGTGGTGCCAGAGGATGGACCACAAATGGGGTTACCAGTCTGGGCGTGGTGGCTCACACCTGTAATCCCATCACTTTGGGAGGCCCAGGCGGGCGGGTCACTTGAGGTCAGGAATTTGAGACCAGCCCAGCCTGGCCAACATAGCAAAACCCTGTCTCTACTAAAATATAAAAATTAGCCAGTTGTGGTGGTGCCTGCCTGTAGTCCCAGCTACTCAGGAGGCTGAGGTGGGTTGAACCCAGGAAGTGAAGGTTGCAGTGAGCTGAGATCACACCACTGGACTCCAGCCTGGGTGACAGAGCGAGACTCTCTCAAAAACAAAAAAGAATGGGGTTATTATTCCCATTTTACAGTTGAAGGAACTGCAGGTCAGAGGGAAACTGGCCTAAAGGCACACCTGGAAATATCAGAGGCTGAATTCTAATCCAAATCCTCTAAAGCCAAAGGTTTTTCCTTTACCATTGCAGTGTGACTGTCACCTCCCACTCTCTGAACCTTAGCTGCCTCTAAAATGGTGCAGCTCATTTCCATCCATTTCCATTTCCATTGGATGGAAAGAAGCAGCACTGTCTTAGAGGTAGCCAAGGTTCAGAGAGGTCCAGTGGTCAAGGAAGCATTTTGCAAATTGTAAAGAACTGTGCACATTGCAAAGGATTTCTCATTACCATTCTCGGCTAGCCCAATAAGCAGTGAGTGATGACACAAAGTGGGCTCCCCTGTTGCAGTGGGGGGCTGTGGGCAGGTAGGACTGGGAAGGCCAAAGATCTGGGCCTTGGGCAGGACTGGCGCTCAGGTCTATGGGTCAGTTGCTTGCCTTGGAGACGAGCGGCGTGGAGATGTGGTGCATGACATCTGGTTTCACTCCGTTGGCATGCGGCCGGCGGCTCAGTGCTAGGCGGCTTCGCCGGCGGCCCTTGTCCCCACTTGCCAGACATCCATTGTAGCTATAGATGTGGGGGGTTAAGAAGAAAGCGTTGCAACAGGAGACAGAGAAAGAGAGAGGGTGAACCCCTGATGAGACTTGGAGGAAACTGCCAACTTCTGGGGAGATCCTATGTTAATAAACAAGCTCTAGAAGCCCCTGAAACTAGAAGACCTACAATAACAAATTGGTGCACTGGGGAGTGGGTGGGGGGTGTCAGAACAGTTTCAAAAGCACTTTCATTCAGTTAACCAAGTATTTCCTGGACACTTGAGCCATGCCTGGTTCGGTGCTGTGCATGGGGGCAGTAGAGCACCACGGGGTCAGTTGTGGGCCCTCAGTGGAGAGGTTCCTCAGCTTCTCTATGAACCTAAATGCCAACTGCCATACCCAGACACAAGCCAAGGATGCCACAAGCCTAGAAGAAGAAAAGGGAATTCTGGCTCTAGGATCAGGTTTCTGGGAGAGGAAACACCTCTACTGGGTCTTGAAGAACTAGAAAGGGTTCACCTGTAGCAAACTGTCACTTCTCACACCACTACTAGGAACAAAAATGAAAGGAAAAAATGACCCACAACGCCACCACCTCCATGTCTATACACGTCAAATTTCCACCTGCCTTTCCAGCTCTTGTCTGGAGGGGATGGCTGTGAGAGGCAGAGAGTGGGTGAGTCACAGCTCTCACTGCTGCCATGGGCTACTGGCCCCGTGTCCCTGGCCTTCATGTTACCAATCACCTAATGGAATCTGTGCAGTGGCCTGCCAGGCAAGTGGCTTTCTGCCCGTCTTACACATAAGAGAAATCAAGGCTCAGGGAGGTAAAGTGACTTGCCTCAGGCTAGTAGGTGAAAATGTCCAGATTCGAGCCTGGCCTGTCCCACTCCAGACTTGCAGAAGCCCCTCTAGATGGAGGCTCACCCTAAGCAAAGGCCCCAAGGCTGTCAGGGTCTGACGAGATCGGGGAATGGTGACTTTGGTGGTGAAGTGTGGTAGGGAGATGATGCTGGTGGGAAGGTTCTGAACTCCAGGCTGAGGACGTTATTCTGTAAGCAGTGGGGAGCCAGGAAGTTTTGGGAAAAGGAAGGGACAGGACAAATAGCTGCCAAATACAAACAAGGCCGCTTGAATCAGAATCTTCCAGGGAATTTGTTAAAATCCAGGTGAGGTCGGGTGCGGTGACCCATATCTGTAATCCCAACACTCTGGGGGGCCAAGGCGGGCAGATTGCCTGCGGTCAGGGGTTTGAGACCAGCCTGGCCAACATGGTAAAACCCCATGTCTACCAAAAATACAAACATTAGCCAGGATTGATGGGTGCTTGTAATCCCAGCTACTCAGGAGGCTGAGGCAGGAGAATCACTTGAACCAGGGAGGCGGAGGGTGCAGTGAGCTGAGATCATGACACTGTATTCCAGCCTGAGCAACAAAGCAAGACTCTGTCTCAAAAAAAAAAAAAAAAAATCCAGATTCCCTGGGCCTACCCACTGTGACAGTGATTCTGTAGGCTTGGAGAGGGCCTGTCAATGTATATTTTGAATGTTCTCCAGCCATCTCTGATGTGCAGCCAGTGTGGACTCTGCTCTGCAGGGGGCTGCCAGGCGGGCCCACACCCGTGGGTCTGCAGCTTCCCACATTAGTGGCCTTGCCTTGGGCTGGAAAGCCAGTCCTGCCTGTGGGATATGAAGCAGCTACTTTTCCAAGGCAAGCTCTCCCAAGGGAGACATCACTTTTGCCCTTGTGAGCTCTTCCCACACATGGGCAGGGGCAGGCCTTGAGGTGGGGCAGTTCAGGACACAGGCTTGGGCCTGGCTTAAATCTGGCTCTTCCGCTTATCACATGACCTCTGTAAAATGGAGCTAATTTTTTAGGACCTGCCTCGGAGGTTCATTTTGAGAACTAAATGAGACAAAGCATTTAAAAGTGCTTGGCACAAAGTTTGGCATATTTATAGCAAGCCCTTGATAAGTGTTCACTATTACTGTTTTCTTTTTTAAAGCACATGTCAACAAACAGCAGCCTTTTGTTAAAAATCATAATGATATAGCTTATCAAATAGTTTCTTTAGGACTGATGGCAGAGAGAGGCCAAAAGGAGACCTGGTTGGGAGAGGAGAAAGAGGGAAGAGGGTATGTCCCTGGGGAAAAAGCTGAGTGGATGGTGCAGGGATCCTGGTCAGACGGAGACCAGGAAGGGATGAGGTTGGCCCGGCCGCCAGTTCACGTGGCTTCCTCTCTCCTGGCCTTCGCTTTCCCATCTGCAGTGTGCGGGTCAGCTGTGGCTTAGTGAAAGTGCACTAGACCTAGAGTAAGAAAGACCTAGGTCCAAATCCCAGCCCTGCCACTTACCAGCTGTGTGCCCTTGGGCCAGTCACTTCCCCTCTCTGAGCCTCGGTTTCCTCACC